GTTGGGGAAAGGAACAGGGCCCCCAGACAGACAGCCACAGAGGCAGGACAGACCAATTGCCAAGAGGCCAGGACAAAGGATGATGTGTGTTCTGGCTAAGAGGAGGGGAGAGACAGCTGGCTGCTGGGGGTAGGAGGAAGAACTGCTGGAAAAGGCAGAGCTTGAACAGTGTGGGCAGGAGGAAGGAGTGACAGACAAGACAAGGGGCGGGCAGAGAGTTCAGGCTCAGCCAGTATGGTCTGCCTCAGTTTCTTCCTCAAACACAGGGATGATATAACGGCATCCATCTTAGGCTTGTGAGGAGTAACAGGGATAATGTAACTTCATCCATTTTAGGCTTGTAAGGATTAATATAATTAAATAGTGCCCATAACTTAGTGTTTATTAACTCTTTTTTTGTTGTTGTTTTTTGTTTTTCGAGACAGGGTTTCTCTGTATTGTTTTGGAGGCTGTCCTGAATCTCGTTCTGTAGACCAGGCTGGCCTCAAACTCACAGAGATCTGCCTGCCTCTGCCCTCTGAGTGCTGGGATTAAAGGCCACCAACACCCAGCTTCTTCTTTAAGATTGGAACTTGTGGTAATCCTCCTGCCTCAGCCTCCTGAGTGCTGATATTAATACACTCCACATCTGTTAGCTATTAATTGCCAGGAAGGAGCAGGGCAGAAGTAAAAAGAGGTAGATTATGGACCAGTGAGAGAGAGGCTTCCATGGTTGGTAAGACTGTTGGATTGCAAGGTTTGGACTAAGAGCAATGAACCCAGAGTGAGGTCACAAGGACGTTAGTTTCAATTTCAGGAGTTTGTAACTTTGAATACATTCCATACCACCACTGGGAGTCTGTTTACTCACAAGGGCCTCTTCCAACTCTACATTGTAAAGTGATCCAGAGGGGTTGTGCTGGTGTTCATGGCCATGGAAAGAAATAAAGGTTATGCCTGCTCGGTGACTGAAGATAAAGGGAAACACCACAGAATGTTCCAGAGCTAGAGCTAAAATGAGGTTGGAAAGAGTAGGTCTGGAGGGAAGAAAGTCTATTTCAGTCTGAACGTACTAGAAAAAAATAGAGTAATACACTGTAGTAGAAATAACTGTCTAGAAAATAGTTCAAATGCAGACCTGCATTCTGGGAACCATAATTGCAAGCCATGAGAATGAATGTCACCAACTCCTTCCATGACTCTGTGTGGTCTGCCTGTGCTTCTGAGAGCCACAGACCTAGCGTGTAACCTTGGTGGCTAGAAGCAATACTGATGCAGGCCAAGGTGTTGAAAAAAAAAAAAAACAGTTCAGAACCAATAGAAGTCGCAATATGTTTGCTCTTGGGGGCTGGGGACCAGACCATGGGAAGACTTGAAGGAAGTGTTCACAGGTGGCCATGGTTTCAGGGATCTGCCAGTGGGAGGTGGGAGCCCAGTCTCCGGGTCTTTGCATCCCCTGTAGGCCCTGGCCCTGGCAGCAACCAACCCACTCCCCCTCCAGATTGCCCTGGTTGCCACTAAAGTCTTCTATTTTTCTTCTCCTTTCATGGGACCACTGACAACCTTAAAAAAAAAAAAAAACCAGGGCTGGAGAGATGGCTCAGAGGTTAAGAGCACTGACTGATCTTCCAGATGTCCTGAGTTCAATTCCCAGCAACCACATGGTGGCTTACAACCATCCGTAATGAGATCTGGTGCCTTCTCCTGGCTTGCAGACATACAGAGGCAGGATATTGTATTCATAATAAATAAATAAATAAAAATACATATGTTTAAAAAAAAAAACCAGCCAAGCTAAGTGGTGGTGTTGCACACCTTTAATCCCAGCACTCGGGAGGCAGAGGCAGGCAGATCTCTGTGAAGTTTGAGGCCAGCCTGGTCTACAGAGTGAGTTCCAGGACAGCCTCCACAGAGACACCCTGTCTTGAGAAACCGCACCAAACAGAAAACCAGCCTAGCCGTGTTGTTACGGCCCAGTTGCCACACAGTCCCTCTCCTGTGCTCTTGTGTCTGAAACCCTGCTGTACAGTTCCGATGTGTTGAGTAAAAGATAGCTGGCTTTGAAAAGTCATTGCAGGAGGCTGCATTTCACTTTGCCTTGTAATTAGGAGCCAAGGCCTAGGATCTGACATGAATGTTTTTGAAATCTCCAACTCACCATTCACTGGCAAAGAAAATTCCCATTGCTGGCCTCAGGGTCAGCAAGCGAGCTGCAATGTCGACCAGCGTTGGCTAGGATGCATTGGTGGTAGTAATGGTTACAGCAGCATTGCTGTGGTAGTATTGACAGACAGCCACAAATTCCCAAAGTATTTAGCCAGAATTGCTCACAAAAAAAAAAAAAAGCTAAGTCCCTGTAGTAAGTCATAGTCTATTTTGTAACATCTGTAACATGGGGGATTTTCAATGACCTAGTGCCTGTGGGAAATCTTGGCCATACTAGCAATTAATTCATTCAGCTATCACTGACTTAGCAATGAACTGAAGTTCCCAGAGTCAGGATAGCAGCAGACTCCAGAAATAAGGATAATTTTGTGTCTAAAGCCGTCTGTTAAAGAACTAAATGCTGGGCAGGAAGAAGGGGAGTCATGTGAATTGGACCTTGTGTCATGCCAACACAGATGGGAATTTAAGCTCTTGAGAAGTCTTAAGCCAGACTTCATGGCTGCTCAATGCAAGCACTGTGTGTGTGTGTGTGTGTGTGTGTGTGTGTGTGTGTGTGTGTGCACGCGCGCGCCTTCTACGTCTTTCTCCAGGTATAATACTTTAGGTGCTGACCACCCTGGGACTCGGGGGCCAGCCCCCTCCTTTCCCAAGCCGTACGGCTTTCTGACTCTCAAATCTGACCCTGGCCTCATGTCCTGTCTTTGCTCACACCAGGGAGCAAAGGCAGGAGAATCCCGAGTTTGAAGCTAGCCTGGGCTACATAGTGAAGTCCTATTTAAGTTGCAACAACAAAGCCATCATATAATTAGATTAACTTCTGTAAGTACCTTCCCACCACTTTCCCCAAATCCTGCCAGGATGGGGTTTAGCCTGACTCACTTCCCACATACTTTTCCACCCAGGGTTTTTATCAAGCTTTGTCATTTCTTAGCTGAGTCTAGTTCAGTTCTGAGGCCAGTTTTTATTTCAGTTCCCTTAGGCACTAGGCCAAATGACCCATTGAAGGCTGATAAAGACTCAGTGACCTAGGCACAGGAAGGGAAGGGAGGCAAAGGATGTTTCTGGGTAATTCTAAAATAAATCTTTTCCCACTTGTTCCTGACCTTTGGACAACCTCCTGAGCCTATCTGCTGTGGGGGAGGGTAGGAAGCACAGGTGACAGGGTCTTTAGCCGGCTGTCGTACCTTGCTAGATCACATTCTGGGCTTATTTCCTTCTTTACTAGGAAATAAATAAAATGACAATGACAAATCATGGAGGTGCTTTTCATTTGTGGTTGTCTCTGATGCTACGTGCCTGGCTCAGCTGATTTTAAAACTTAAGCAGTTTCCTGGGCCTTCTCTTGAGATACAGCTTCTTTGAAAACTACAGTTTAATTCTGATTCAATAGCATACCTAAGTGGTTGAACTTGGATCTGCTCCAATTTTCCAGGAGACATGAAGCATTATAATGTGTAATCCTAAAATCTAGACATCATTCTTTCGGGGCGGAGCTGGGGGACTCACCAGCTCGGGGAGGAATGCCTGGGGAAACACGTCTGGGTTTTCACCCATGTTATGTGGAGGGCACGCAGGCCTGGGATTTCTAAATATGAAACTTCTGGGAAACAGTGCGGGGGGGGGCTGGGGCAAGAGGTGGGAGGCGTGGAAAGCTATAAACTAACTACTGAAGGCAAGTACTGAGTTTTGGACAAAGCACTGATGGTCTGAGACATCGGAATAGTGCAAACCAAGCTCACTGTGCACAGAGGCGGCAGTTTGGTCCCCTGTCCCAGCTGTTTCAGCCCTATAGCAGCTCCTGTACAGTTTTCTTTGGCTCAGAGAAGCAGAGGCCTCCCCCGAGCTCCGGCCCCCCTCTACCGCAAAGCAACTGGCTTCCATTACCCTGACAGCTCCAGAGCCACGGTCCAGCCCCCGGCCCTGTCTGGCTCCATATCATTCCCTTTTATGGTGAAGCTTAGAGAAAGCAAGGGGGAAAACCCGTTTCTAGCTGGGTAGAGGATTGTAGAGATTCAGGGTGCTGCTCCCCTCACCAGTGACCCTCGGATGTCTGGATGTCTATTGCAGCCAACTCTCTTCTTCACCACAAACCCACGGCCCCTCTGGCTTGTCCCAGCCCTTCCTTTCCTACCCCCTCCTTCACATCCGTGGGGTGATTTCCCACTTGGCCTAGGTCCCACGTTTGGTTTTTGATTATGATAGGGTCCGCCCTAATTTCGACGCCCACCACCGGGAGTGGGATGGGGGCAAGGAGCTCGCCAGAGACTGGTACTGGTCAAATAGCCAATGATCCGCCCGTTTGGCAGGACGTGGTTTCAGAAAGATTAGCACGCGTGAGGGAACCAGCATCCTCAGTCCTGTCCATTCTGCATCATCTTTCACTCCATCCCCACTGCCTGCGAGCCTGGGAGGGGACCGGGAGGGCAGGACCCAAAGGAAGCACCTGGCTGGGTCGGGTAGGGAAGCGAAGAGTGGCCCATGCAGGAACGTGGGTCGGAGTCCGCGGGTCAGGCCCAGCCTCCCGCCTGCCGCACCCTCGCCCTAGCCCACTCCTCGGCTCCAGGGAGGCTGTCACCACAGCGGCGTTAGCCAACAGCGATCCCGCCGCGCCAGCTGAGGCCAGCTGTGAAACCCCGGCTCTGCCCAGCCCTGGCCCGGCCCGCTCCCTGCAGCCAGGTGCCCCTCCCCCGAGGCTCCGCCCACGACCCACTCTGTGTGCGCGCGCCGTCGGAGCACACGAGTCGGCGGGGTAGAGAAGCCGGAAGTGCCTCGCTGTTCCCCGGCTGGCGCTACGAACTTCCGACTCCGGTCTCCTTCCTCGAGCTTCTCCAGCGGTGGCGTCGGAGCGAGTGGAGCTGGTCAGGTGAGAGGCTCGCAGGCGCCGTCTCCCACGCGAGGCCGGCGGAGGCTGGACCGTGGTGGCGAGGGCAACCAGAGCGCGCCCCGAGGCTCAGTCCCTCCCTTGTCCGCAGGATGATCACGGACGTGCAGCTCGCCATCTTCGCCAACATGCTGGGCGTGTCGCTTTTCTTGCTTGTGGTTCTCTATCACTACGTGGCAGTCAACAATCCCAAGAAGCAGGAATGAAAGTAGCTCTCTCTCCGCCCCAGGTAACGGTCCGGGCGGTGGTGCCCAGGCCCGGGAGAGCTGAGTGGTGAGGCCGCGCCACACCTGCGGGCTTAGGAACTTCAAGTCAAAGTGTCGAGCCAAGCTTGGTAGTCCAGCTCCGGGCCCCCTTGTTCGCACTCTGTACAGTGCCATGCAGTACTGCTTCTTGCCCTAAACGGCTTCCTACTACAGTGAGGGTGGGTTTCCGGATCCTCCTCAAGCTCCATTTTGAGCTTCCCAGGAGATAAGATAGTTACAAACTGTGGTTCCAAGGAGGCGTTGACACCAGTACTAAGGCAGTAACTGTGCCATCCAGGTATGGGGCATCAGGTCCTTAACAGCTTCACTTTCCCCGGAGCCTGGGCGGGTTCTGGGCAGGGGCACGGTAGTGAAAGATGTAGACTTATTTCCATGTTCTGAAGCCATGGGTTAACTCCAAACAAACCATCGAGAAAAAAGGGAGGGGGCAGAGTCTGGAAACCAAGTGTGCTTTTAATGTTAAGGGGGTTGGCTCCTGAAGGATTCCCCCACAGGAAAGCTGCAGCATTTTCCTTATTTCAGGTTTTTCCCCTTTTTTTCTAGGGTTCCAGGACATAGTCTGAGGCAAGATGGAGGGTGTGAGGGGCCTTCACACTTTCATCTCTCCTACCCATCACAGCATACAAAGCAACTACACCTGGATTTTTCCAAACAACTTTTATTTCCTCAAAGTCTTCCTTAACCCTATGGAACAAGAAGCTGCCATTGAATAGGAGCCAGTATAGGGGCTGCTTTCTTTTCTACTCCCTCCCCCAATACAAAAATAGATATATATATATTTTTTGTGGTCCCAAAATCTTGTGCTGTGGAGGGAGGGAAGGGGTGGCAGATCCCTGTTTTGTTCTGTCTCAAGGTGATGTTATGCAAGGCCTCGGACAGTGTGGCCATCTCCCAAGGAGTTATGGCTGTCACATGGTATCAGCAGCTGGAAGGCGGGACTAACATATCTTTCACTGTGTTCCCTCACCTTAGGGCTATACCCTGGGCATGGAGGTAAACGCATTGTCAGATCCTGGGAGAAATAGTGAGTGATGGAGATTTAGGGACAAAACAAACCTCACATTGGTTCAAGGGCCCCCTGCTGTAAAAAATCCGGGTTGGGGAGTCAGATAGAGTACAGGAAATAGGAGAAAAGGCAGGGGCAGAGCAGGGCCGTGGGGGGCCGGCCTGAGGCAGCCTGCAACAGAGAAGAGAGAGGAGATCAGGGTTGTGGACACAGCCCCTTTCCTGGTCTGTTAGCCAGGGGCTGTGAGGTGAACAGGGAAATGTGAAGATGGGAAGGCGGGTTTGTTACTGCGCACAAGACTAATACTACAGCTAGCTAGTGCCTAGGCCTTAAGAGCCTCACTACGCGTTATCCTTTGGAGTCAAGACTGAGGCCATGTGGAATGAAAATCAGGGACTAGATTATTAATGAAAGTGCATTTAGTGTTTGGTAAAGGAGAAACTTATCCTGAATGGTGGAGATGGGGGAAGGGATAGAAGAGGTGGGGTGGATGAAGGACTGGACTCCGGTGCTCACCCTGGTGTGGCAGAGTGGGGTCCCGGCTCCAGCTCACTGCTTTCTCTGGTCTGGGGGAGAGGGGATGTGGGACTTGAAGAGCCTCTCATCCCTCTGCGAGTCGGCGGTGAGCTCCGGCCCAACCTGGGCCTAGCCTGTGTGGACAGGGGTAGTCTAAGAGGTTGGCTTCCTCCATGAGACTTTTCAGTTTCTAGAGTTTCCATGCATAAGAATCTAGCACAGTAATCAACAGAGGTGCTAGGACCTTGAAGTCCTGGGCACTGCTCCTAGCTGAGAGGATGAGGCGGGGTGGCAGCTAGCGAACTCTCAGATTGAATATATGACAAGGAGCCAGGTCTTACAGGACCTAGCATTTACCTCCATGGGTGCTGCATGTGAGAGCTGGCTGAATGGAGAAGCACTGGGAAGGACTGCAGACCTCCCTCAGCTTTCTGAGCTCCGCCCCTGCCAGAGCAGCTTAAACTTCACCCGTCCAGTCAGCTTCTGCCTCTACCCAACTATAGTTCAACTAGGAAGAGGAGCTGTCTGAGTTGGAGGTGATGGTAAGGCTGTTACCAGGAGCAGTAACCAGAAGTGTTACCTGGGGAATCCGGGACCCCTCCTGGCGGAAACTCTCCTCGGGCATGTCTGGTCAGAAAGAGAGGAGAAGCTAAGGACGGGTAGGGAAAGCCAAAGCTAGCAGGCTGTAGTTGGGGTGCATCTGGCAGGGACAATGGAGTCTGAAGCAAACAAGATAGCTGGCTAATTGGGACTGGGTAGGTTAGGTACCATGACAGCTCTGATAGGCTGGTGATGAATGGCTTTAAAGCAGGACTGAGCATCTTCCCTCCCAGTGCTCAGGAGAATAGTGTCCTCCTGGGTTATGCTAACCTAAGGACGTAGACAGACCCCAAAATTTTACCTGCAAACGAGTCCTAATGCAGGGGATCCGAGCACCAGCCCCTAGCAGACTTTTCCCAATCACCATGACAGCCTCTGGCTTGTCCCCTGAAGAAGAGAATGAGCAGCTGCTCCCTAGAGAATAGAGGAAACTGATCATCAAGGTAGGACTGGAAGGGAAGGCAACTTCATTTACATCAGTTTCTCGACCTTGTTTTCCTTGGTGCTGGGGATTAAACCTTGGATTTCATGTTAAACTGGTGTTCAGCCACTGGGCTATACCAGCAGCCCTTCCTCATTGAGAAATTGGCAGTACAATCATTAGTTGTTGCAGTGATTTTGTACTTAGTAGGCTGTTTATCAACATCCCTATCTTAAACTACTGTCTGTGCTGTTTCCTCTCTAGGTCCTTCCCCAATGTAATAACCAGAACCTCTTTGGATATTGTCCTATGTTCCCTGGGTGGCAAAAATTGCTTCTGAGAGGTCCTAATCTGATCTGAGGAGTGAAGCTGCCACTTTGGGTTCAAATTAAACCCTCAAGTTTAATGACTCAATGTGTAAAGCTTACAGCCCACTCCAGTTGTATGTTTAGGTATTTAGGAATAAAGTCCAGCTGGGCATAGTGGCCACACCTTTAACCCCAGCATTCCAGAGCAGAACTGAAAGGCCAACTGGTCTATATAATTAGTTCCAGGACAGCCATGGCTACATAGACCTTGTCTCAAGGGGGAGTGGGAGTCCATTATGTACAACTGGAATGAGGACTAGCTTGATTAAAAATTGACAGGTTGGCATGGTATGTGTTGGAGTCAATCATAGAAAAGGGTCCTGCTGGGCATGATGGTGTACGCCTTTAATTCCAGCACTCAGCAGGCAGAGTTAGGTAGGTCTCTGTAGGTTTGGGGCCAGCCTGGTCTACAAAGAGTTCCAGGGCAGCCAGGACTACAAAGAGAGGCCCTGTCTCAAAAGAAAAAGAAAGAAAACAATCTTATTTAGTTCCTTTTATCACTGGGCCTCTAACTTAAAAGAGTAGGTGGCGGCTTTAAGTTTAGTTAGAACACTGGATGCCATTTATAATCCCATAGGTGAGATGCCTGTTCTTTCAGATGTTTCAATTGTATCCCACTCCTAGTTCTTGCCATTAGACAACTGGGTAAGTAGCACTTTGCAGGTAGAAAAAGTCCTCAGATCCTTGAACTGCAAGTGAGGACTAGATAGTGTAGAGCAGTTCCTGCACAGAGTGAATGTTCAAGAAATGTAAACTGTTACTTTATTTTACAAATTCAAATGAATTCCAAACTCCTGTACAAAGCCACATACGTTAGTATAGGGTACCAGGAAAATACCTTGCACCTGCTCTGAAGCGACCTGTATATATCAGGTCAAGGAGGAGTCCAGATTGGCAGGATGGCTGAAGGGGTTTCTTGACGCTTAGTTTGTAGGCTGTCTAAGCCCGGGGTAGCAGGGAAGGAGAAAAGCTGGGTACTCAGATTTCAGGGGCAGTGAGTACAGACCTGATAAGCTCAGTGAGTTGGGCAGTAGGCAGGAGCCCAGGCTTCGTGAGGAGGCTGGGCCAGAACTACCAAGAGTTGGGGATGGGGCCAGGCTGCCTGTGGTAGGGCGATGGTTCAGTGCCTGCTGCCGCCGTCTTCTGTCTGGGCATCGGGGCTCTGAGTGGAAAGGACACAGGTAAAAGAGAAAGTTAGTGGGAGACTGATACGCTTCACTGACCTGCTCACTTCCCTTGGTCGGCATGGCCAGAAGATGCCTGCTTCCAAGTTTGTCAGCAAAGCAGCCAACTGCCCTGCTGTAAAGCAACTGTGAGATGAAGGCGTTTAATATTTACCCCAGCCATCTAAATCTCGGCCATCTCTCATCCTGCCAGTTTATTTTGGTGAAGAGTTATGGCTTCTAAAACACAGCTTTGCTGGACTTTTCTCTCATCTCTAACGTTTCTTCCTGTCACTTAAGGACCAGTGTTCCCAGCCATCTGAGTTTTGTCTTCTCTTAAATCCTGAGAGTTCTAAGACCTTTTCCTCCCCCAAATGCATTAAGTCCCTAATTACCAAAGCCAATCTCACTGTCTTCTCCCCAATCCTTTTTTTTTTTTTTTTTTTTTTTTTTTTGGTTTTTCAGTACAAGGTTTCTCTGTGGCTTTGGAGTCTGTCCTGGAATAGCTCTTGTAGACCAGGCTGGTCTCGAACTCACAGAGATCCACCTGCCTCTGCCTCCCAAGTGCTAGGATTAAAGGCGTATGCTACCAACGCCTGGTCCCAATCCTCCTTTTTCCTGTCTACTAGAAAGCTTACTTCATTTTTCTATTCCTCCCTTACATTTGTTTGCTTAGCCATCACCAGTATTAGATACAGGTTTTTTCACTCTCGCTGTTCTTTCTCTCTTAGCTTGATTTTTAAAAAATTATTCATCCTTTACATAGGTGCCACCAAGTTATTAATCCTAAAACAGAAGCCTGATTTAAAAACAACACCATGGCTTGGGTAAGGAAGAAATGGTTTATTTGCAGATAGATCCTCACTGTGTGGCCCAGATGCCCTCACCATATGTAACATAAGCTAGCCCTGAACTCTCGATCTTCCTGCCACACCTTCCTAGGTGCTTGGATTGTATGCACACACCACTACATGTGTTAAAGTTTACTCTAAACCTTTACATTCAGTCCTGTCTGCTGCGTTTCCTGGCCACCTATCATTAGGATGCTGGCTTGATCACTCATACCTCAGCTGTTAGATGCTGCTAGATGTGTGGTTCCTTTGAAATTTCTGCTTCTCTTTTTAGGGAGTACCTAAAATGTTCTGTCTCAAATGTCAGCTCCCTGGAAATATTACATTGGCCATTTACAGGCAGAATTAGTTCTCAGAGCCCCCCCCCCACACCTTTCACAAGGCTAGTTGTAAAGTTTGAGGGCATTCTTAACCTCTAGGAGTAGTACTCTGATGTACTTCTTTGGCTGGAACTTGACTACTACAGGTTCTGAGGGTGGGGTCCCAGAGAGACAGATGGTCGGTGGATGGGAAAGGGGACTTGCAGATTAGCAGGTGCCAGATTTATTGTCAATATTCTAGATGTCCTCTAATACAAGCTACAGGTAGGAAAAGCCTCTAACTCTGGAAGTCATTGGCAGTAACGCCATCTTGTTTTAGCAGGCAGTGTCAGGCATGTATGTAACAGTATAAACCTGCAGTCTCAACATGCAGAAGGTTGTGGCAGGGTGATCACAAGTTCTAGGCTATCATGTGCTTCATAATGAGACCCTGTTCCAAAGAATATTTCTGATCACTCTTAGGATGGAAGCCTTTCTGGCTATGTGACATTGAACTGGATACCAATTAAGAGTCTACGGTGGATAGTTTAA